GTCGGTTACAAAATTTGCTGCAAATTAGTGTTAATTTAAAATAATTATCAATTTTTTGACATGGCTCCAAGATTATTTTTTTCTGATTTTCATTTTTTTAAATACTAAACTAAAAAATTTACTTCCACATATATAATATAGATGGGTATAAATCAAATGTTTATGTCTCACGCAAACTTCAGGGGCATTACAGATGGAAATCTTTATGTGAGTAAAATGAAGCAAAAAATTGTCATTGATGTCAACGAGAATGGTGTTGAAGATGCTGCAACTACAAGTAAATCTTTTTCCCCCACCTTGCAAAGGTTCCCCGGAAAGTGCCCCTTGGAGGTTCTATCAGAATTCCGCCGGAACTTCCAACGTAATTCCGTCAGAATTCCAAAGAATTTCCGATGAGATTCCGACGGAGTTCCGACGGAATTAATCGAAATTCCGTCGGAAATTTTTTGGAACTCCGATGGAATTCCGAGGGAATTCTGATAGAACCTCCAGGGGGCATTTTCCGGGGAATCTTTCCAAGTAAGTTTTTTTAATTTAATGTAATAATTACAATTCTTAATTATACATTAAAACAAGTGAAAGAAAAATTAATTTTTTGTGGTATTTTTTTACAGGTGGATTTTTTACCAACGGAATGATGGGAGAGCATATAACTCAACCATTTCATGCTAATCATGCATTTCATTATAAGATTATTAGAACAGTTGGTGAACATGATGGTATTGCATTGTTTGCTGGTAATTGTAAATATATACAGTAATTTAGAGAATATACGAATATTAAATATGTCTGCAAGGCCAAAAAACGAACACATTAAATGTATAAAATTATAAATTTAAGTTTGTACAAACAATATTACAATATTATCGAAAAATCATAAAAATTCTATAGTAATTTGTAAATCCGTTTTATACAATTAATAATTATTCTTTATATATTATATAAAAATTATTTTTCAAAGAAAACGTTTATTTTTAAACACTTAAATTATATACGAAAAAAATTATATATAACTTGAGCAAAATTTCGGGTTAGGAATACGAACACGGTGAAAACCTTTTATATTTAATAATGAATACAATTTCTTAAAAAAAGACAAAATATTTAATATTTAAAAAAAAAGATTATTATTTTTAAACTTGATATTTATGAATATTTTTTATAAATAATATATTCTTTATTCTTTTAGAATAAATTTAAAAAGACTGTGGAAATACCGAGTCTGACGTAAATAATTTTTCTTTAATTCTTCAATATTTAAATATAATAATCTAATACATAATATTTTCACGAGATAAATAAAGATGGAAAGAAAGGTTAAATTTAATTTTTGATAACTCTCTCAAAGCTACTTGAATGCTTTGTTTAAAACGTACAAAATTTGTTATTTTCAAGCTTTCCGTGGAAGCGAAAAATCGGCCATAACAGGCTTCCTGAAAGTTTTCTATAGCTAGTTATCTACTGTCTCACAATTCTCTAATGGTTATCTCAATACTTCAAAACAACTTTTTGTTCAGCTTAACATAGCGTAGGATTTTCGACTGGGAGGCCAAAAAACGAACACATTAAATATGTATAAAATTATAAATTTAAGTTTGTACAAACAATATTACTATTTAACATTTTAATAAAATAAAAATGGAATTACAATTTATTAACAAAAAACTTCATAAATTGTGATATTAATATAAAATTTATATATTTCTTTATATACATTTACATTTAATATTTTGTGTAGAATTAAAATATTGTGACTAAATAAAAAAAATAATATATTTAATATACATAAATTAATAATATAAGAAAAATAATAATATAAAAAAATATTTTTGTCTTTAATTATTCATGAATGTTGATTCTCTTTAAAAGTCGAGAGTATGCGTAGGTACTCTTAAGCATGACCTGCCTATAAGAGTACGCAAATGACTATTCTTCAAAAAATATTTAATTTACAAAAAAATAAGATAATAAAAAAATATTTTCATTATAAAATAAAACAATGTTTTTATAATAAATATTTATAAATAAAAAAATCAACAAAACAAATTGAAATTAGTCAATTGGGAGTTTCGGCATGCTTATTACGAATCTGAAATTAAATGGGAAAATTCAAAATCTCAGACACTGTTTATAAATTCATCAAATTTGCTTGAAATTCGTAATTCAGGAGTTTTTGGAATCGCTGATTACAAAATTTAAAATCAGTTTTTAAAAATTCAAAATGGCGGACACATTTTTTAGAAGTAGACCTATTTTGCTTGAAATTTGTTACTGTGGGGGGGGGGGGTTCCGAAGTCGCTGGTTGCAAATATGAAATTATTTTTCAAAAACTCAAAAAATTTTGATAAATTCATATATCTTTTAAACGGCTTCATAAGAAAAATTATTACATTACCGTATAATTTAGTAATATATAATATACTATACACTATTAAATTTATCTAATATATTTTTTCTTTGAATGATTTTTTTTTAACATTGGTTTTTAAGTCATTATGTATATATATGGGCAAATCCACGAAACTTTTAACTTTCAAGAAAAAAAAATTTCTTTTTTTAATTTGCAGCCACATTGATGTCACTTTGTATACACGTTTAAGTACATTTTAGCACTACAAATTCATATGCGTGATTAATTTTTACCTCACGACGTCAATGTTTAACTCTTTTAAACTCTTTAATGTTGATAAATTACATATAAAATTGAAAAATTCAAATTTTTTTATTATTGATATCGGAGTGGTTTCCAAAGTATTTTCGTCCTCTGAACACGATTCTGGCACCCAAATTAGCTTAGCACGTCAGCATTTTGAGAAAAGAGGGGGTAAAGACTCCAAAAAAGTTTTTTCAGCATATTCTTAGCTTAATAAAATTTATTTCACTCAAAATCCTTAAACGGCGTTTTTGTGTTCAAATATATGTATGAAAATGTTTAGATCACACCAAAGATTGACCTGTTTAAAGCAAAAATGCAGTTGTGCCTTTCAAAAATGTATAAATTTAAATGAAATCTCGATTTTTATTATTATCTTTAAATTGTTGCCACAGGAATACAATTAGAGGCACATCATTATAAAAGGTCTTAGAATTTTTGTCTTTTCATCACCTTTTAAAAAATGCATTGAACTTTTATTTTTATCCAACGCTGTAATAGATATTTTCATAAGAAGACGTTCAATTGAATTTTTTTAAAAAGTGTTATCACTCAATCAAACCTTCGTATTTTTAGTTTTAATGGTGGCACACTAATGGGATAGTGAAAATTTTTTGACAAAATATGTCTGGTAGATATTTCCATAGTAGCTGAAGTGATATTTTACACGCCGCAAAAATAAAAACATTAAGAATATAAACTTTTTCAAGAAATTTAAATGAAATTTAAGCATTTTTTCACTTTTTAACTTATAAGACTAATTGTCAAATAAATATTTTGTTTTAATATTGTATATAAATGTTCCTTTGAATATAATTTAGCAAAAAAAATGATACCCATATATACTTAATTTATCATTATTAACAAAAAAATTTGATAATATAACCAAAAGCTTTCTTGATCTGTAGAATACTTTTATGTACTTATGTTAATTTATATATATAAACTTAATAAAACTTTCTAAAAAGTATCAAAAGCATCGATTACACATGTAATTGATGTATTCCATGCCGTCAAAGTCCATCTGCAATTTTTTTTTCATTTAGTACTAATTGAGACTAGCTTTCATAAATTTTTAAAATTTTTTTACCAAGGTGTCTTCGAGTTATGGAATTTTGAAAATTGGAGAATTTTCATCACTTTTAATTTTTGAATGCTCATAACTTCCTTAAAAATGCATCAATTTTAAAAAAGTTTTTTTTTCAAAATGTGTGTTTTTAAACGTACTTTTCAAAAACAAAAGATCGAAATTTTTTTTAAACGATATTACTATCAAATTTTTGAGTTTTAATGATAAAAAGTCATTTTTCTCAATTGAAGTACTGATCGACTTTTTTAAAAATTTTTTCAAAAAAAGAACTTCTTTTTACGAATTTTTTAAGCCTAGCCCGGTAATTGGCAAACGATTTTTACAATACATTTGGAATTTTTCAAAATTCATTGAATTTAAATTTTTTAAAAATATTTTTGGTTTTTTTATACTACGTACTTTTATGTATATGTTAATGAGCTGATTACGAAAATCATAATGACAATACCCGAAAATTTGATTTTTATGGTGAAAACCATAAAAAAGTTCAAAAATTTATGGTACTTTTCGTTTATTAGGTAAACTATGTAAAATTGAAAAAACAATTTTTAGCCAAAAGTTATATATCGTATTAAAATACATTTTTTATATCTTTTGCATTTTTTTTTTAATTTTGCATGTTTTACCTAATAAACGAAAAAAACCATATAAATTTTAGCACTTTTTTATGGTTTTTAAAATAAAAATTAAATTTTCAGGTATTGTCACTATTATTTTCGTGATCAGCTCATCGAAGTACATAAAAGTACGTAGTATAAAAAAAAACTAAAAATATTTTTAAAAAATTTAAATTCAAAGGAATTTGAAAAATTCCAAAAATATTGTAAAAATCGTTTGCCCATTATCGGGCTAGGCTTCAAAGTTTCGTAAAAAGAAGTACTTTTTTTGAAAAAATTTAAAAAAAATCGATCAGTACGTCAATTGAGAAAAACGACTTTTTATCATTAAACTCAAAGTATGGTATGGATTACACGCGTATAGTTACATGTGTAACAATTCTTAAAATTTCGAAAAAATTTAAATATATAAATTACACGTGTAAGTAATTTCTATTGTGACATTGGTTTTAAGATTAGTTATGTATATAATTACTTTACCGCTATCATTATTAATAAAAAATTTGTTAATGTTACTGAAAACTCTTCCGGATCTTTTGTATACTATCTGTAGTATTTTTTCTTTATTTAAACTGCGTAGTTTTATAAGTTAATTTTATTTACATACAATAAATATTTCACAATATTTTACTGTACCTAGGTGTCTATATATCCAATTAACAACTAGCAAATTATATCAGTCTCAAACTGTTAAATAAATTGAAGTCTTCAATATAGTCGTATCTATATTGCTGCATCAAAATGATGTTCACACGTAAGTTTTTTCTTTATGATTTAAATATTTTATTTAAAATTAATTTTATTTTTCAAATTTATTAAAAATATAATTTTTCATAACAATTTTCTTACGGTATAATAAAGGAGAATTATTTACTTTGTTTTTTATATGTTTAAAATACTTAATACCTATATATATTTAAGGCTTCACGATGAGAAAAAGGACCTTAAAGGCAAAAAAGTTTAGGTTATGTTTAGTGATAGTTTTAGCATTAATTAAATATGATTATTTTTAATTATATAAAATTAAAATCAGTTTTTATTTAATATTTTTGATTTAATAAAGTCTTATATATTATGAAGTATTATCCCTCATAACAAAAGGATATCCCTAGGATATCCATAGGATATCCATATCAATGGTCGATATCCTAGAATGGTCCCCATCCTGAGAATATCTTCTTGACATCCAGAAGATATACTGAAAATATCTGTGGAATATCCTGACGATATCTTTGGGATATCTGGAGGACATTTATGACAGTCTATAGAGATATGCAGAAGATATTATGTGGATATCCTCAGATATCCATGGGATATCCAGGATATATCCAAACCGCCGATTTTTTGGATATCCTTAAGAGATCCTTTTGATATCCATAGGACATCCCTAGGATATCTGCGGGATATTATCAATATATCCTAAGATATCTTGTGTTATTAGGGATATATTAAAATTATTCTTGGAAAGTATTTTCAATTTAAAAACTACAAACATAACGCAGTGGGCAAAAAACCATTGTCGTTCTAAAAACGTTTTAAGGATGTTTTTAGAACGTTTCATGTCCGCCAAATAATGTTCTGGAACATTATTTGAACACCCATGTTCTCAAAATGTTCCAGAACATTATTTAGCGGACATGAAACGTTCTAAAAACGTTCTTAAAACGTTTTTAGAACGAACATGCTTTTTTGCCCACTGGGAACTTAAAATTTGTTTGCCTCTAACTTATCTTTTCTTGTGGCATGTTACATATTTTCATTTTGTCGCCCAAGATTCTGATTCTTAATGTGATTTGTGTCTTTTTTTGCAGATTTACTGTCGTTTTTTCTAATAGGTACTTGTAGTATTTATGCAGTAATTGCTTATGGTAACGTAAATTACTTTAGTGAAGAATTGGTACAACCACTCGACTTTCATCAAGCCTTGGAAAAATTCAATAACGACTTATACAAGGTATATATATATCTACCTATATTACAAAAAGATATAGATATATAACGCCGCTGCCGCTGTTTCAAGACTCTGAATACAGCCGCAAGTCTCCCCCCTTCATCCCCACTCGCCAAAAATGACCTAAGTTTTGAGGTTCTGTTCGTTTCAAGACTCTGAATAAAGCCGCAAGTCGTCCCCCTCTCTTACGTTGATTTTCCACCAAAATTGACCTAAATTTTGAGGTTATGTTATTTTTGCGGGAAACGACCAAGAAACAAACATAACTTTAAAATTTAGGTCAAACTTTAAAGGAAAATGACCAAAAAACGAACATAACTTTATATGTAGGTCAAATTATGGCAGGAAATTTAAAAAAATTAAATAAATTTTGTTTTAAAAGTTAAAAATAATAAAAATCATAAATAAGATTTAAAAAAATAAATAAAAAAATATTTATAATAGTTTTAAATTCCAGAAATTGGCCAAACATAAATTCAAAATAGGTCATATGGCCATCAACAAAAACAATAAATAACGGGGGGTTGGCGCGCGAAGCGCGCAGGGTAGCTAGTATATCTATATAAGATCTGAACAATAAATTTTTAATAAATATTGTAAAGATGTTTCATATATTTTTATTCTGATGTCTAGAATGCAGCGTCAAATGGATCCATACAAAATGTTTTATTATCTCCTTTGAGTATAAATATACTCTTAGCTATACTTGCCGTTGGAGCTGCAGGAAGAACTAGATCTGAAATAGTCACAGGTATCAATCAGCCATTACAGTCGGGCGCACAAATTTTAAATAACTATAAGTTGATGGTGGAAAACTTGATGGTAAGAACATAAGTAAATGCGCGGTGAAATTAGTTCCAATATTTGGATTACTTTGTCCGAAACTTTAATCCGGCATACTATCTTTATAAGTTATATTGGATTTTTTTAGAATGTCACAGATGTAGAATTACAAATGTCTAACGCAATATTCGTCGATCATAGTATAAGACTTAAGAAATCATTTCAAGACGAATTATTTAATTACTTTAAAGCACATGAATTTTCAGTGAATTTTAAAACTCCAATACCAACAGTAGATAAGATTAATGGAAAGATTTCGGAACAAACAAATAACAAAATCAACAATATGTTATCAACAAGTACGTATATAATTTGGAAAAATTTTTTGATAAGAAAAATAAGTGTAAAGTTTGTTTTAACTATAAAGCTATGAAGTGGTGAACATTTCTAAATAAAATTTTTTGATTTTAATCTACATTCACTTTTTTTCAGAGGATATAGATGAACGAAGTACTAAAGTAGTCATCACTAATGCCATTTACTTTAAAGGTGAATGGAAGTATAAGTTCGCCAATGTTACTAATTTGGTCTTTCATGACTATCATGGTCAAACTAAAATCGTACCTACTATGACTAAAACAGGTCCATATAGAGTGTCATTTGGAGATACAGCAATAAAGGCTCGAATGATAGAATTGCCATATAAGGTGAGATTCTCTATATTTTTTCTATCACTATACAAGATGAACCACATTATTTTGCATTTTTATCTCTGATTAATTTTATGAAATATTATGATTCTTTTAATACTAATTGAAATTAGCTTTCAAAATATTTTTGATAATTTTTTTTAGCAATCCGTTTACAAGATATATTTTTTTTTTTGAACAATTTTCAAAAAGTTTAATTAACAATCTGCATATGTACAAATGTGGTATCATGCCGCAACAATGATGATTTTGTACATATAAATTCTGGAATCATTACGTATTAGGATGTTGGATAAGATTAAGATTGACTTTTTTCTTTTACAGGGTGACGAACTTAGTATGCTTATCGTGATTCCTTATGAAATGAATGGTCTGGACGATGTTGAAAGTAGTTTAGAGAGAGTAAACCTTAGAAACCACATAAAATCTCTAATGCCTTTTGAAGTTAAATTGAATTTGCCTAAATTTCGGGTTGAAGCTACCACTGACTTGTATGATGCTTTAAATAAGGTTGGTTACATTTTAAGTTTACTCTAATTTGAAACACATTTTGTATTGGACAGAAATTAACGTGAAAAATGGAATTATTCATTTGCTCTTTTTTATTATTGAAGGATAAAAATGGTGCACATGCTTTTGAATGAATTAATAAATTTTTCACGTCAAAATCTGTTGGTTACAAAATTTGCTACAAATTATTATAAATTTAAAATAAATGTCAATTTTTTATATCCAACGTTATTAATTAAATACTTTTACCTGATTTTCATTTTTTAAATACTAAACTAAAACATTTACTTCCACATATAATAGATGGGTATAAATGAAGCGTTTACAGATATCGCAAACTTCAGTCGCATTACAGATGGAAATCTTTCTGTGAGTAAAATGATGCATAAAACTTTAATTGAAGTCAATGAGAATGGTGCTGAAGCTGCTGCAGCTTCAGGTAAGTCTTTTTTTAAATTTCTATTATATAATATTTTCAATTCTTAATTACATTTAAAGTAAAAAAATTAATTTTTTGTGTGGTATTTTTTTTCAGTTGCAGTTTTAGGGTTCAGATCGATGAAATCCGATCCTCCTGAATTTAATGCTAATCATCCGTTTCATTATAAAATTATTAAATCAATTGATAAAAATAATCATGTTGTATTGTTTGCTGGTAACGTCAAACATATACAGTAATTTATAACATACAAATTATGGAGTTACATGAGTTTGCAAGGCCAAAATACACACATTAGAAGAAAATTCTAAATTTAAGAATATCTTGTAAGCGCCTATTTAAAAATATTTTTTCATGCATTTAATTTTTAAAGTTAGAAAAAAATACATATTGTGTAATAATTATCTGGAAATTTTTATAATGTAACCATTTATAAAAGAATATAAATTCAAATTTAAATGTACTTGAATTAATTGATTAATTAATCCTACGCTTCTATATATATATATAAAATATGTAGTTAATAATTTGATTCCTCAATATAAATTTAATTAAAAGTAAAATTCAACGTTTCTTTTGATTTTATTATAGTTGCTCATTTTTCGTATTATTTCGGTAATTTTTGTACTTATGAATTATGATTATTATTTCGTTCACGCAATCAAGGTGGTTCGCAATCAATAATTTTATAAATAAGGGTACAACACAACCTCAAAAAGTAACATTACTATAATTTTATTTAGTTTTCAAGTTAATTTAAAAATTGTTTGATTTAAAATATCTTAAAAAACAATTATGGGCCTTATTAAGTTATTGAATTAGCCTAAAATGGGATAATTTGAAATACGTTTACAATCTTAGTCGTAACTTAAAAAAGTTTTGTAGTTATATAATAAAACTCATATAATGATTATAATTTTTAGCAGTTTTTAAAAAATTATTTTTATAATATGTAGTTAAAAGTTCTAAATTGTTGCCTCCTACTAAATTTTAACAGAAAAATAGTTAATTATATACTATAATTATATTATATGAGTAATATAATTTTGTGTTAATTAAAAAAAATATCAACCATATAAATTAACGCTGCGAGTGACGAAGATCTTCATTTCGGACTTAGTTTTAAAAAATTCAAATTGTCGGAAACAAAATAGTTATTAATATTTGAAAACCTCGTCCGCCATATTGAAATCGTTACTTTGAATTTAAAAAAAAAATTAACTTTTAAAATTAATGCATATTTTTAAGAAATTTATAGGGGCAAGTGCATCAATTACGACGCGTTCATGAAAAATAACTATTATTATTATATTTAATATAACTGTTGAAAAATGATTTTAAAAAATTATTTTAATCTTTTTTTAATACAATTACTAATAAAGATGCACATTTAAAAGCAAATATTAATTTAATTATTTGAGATCAAATTTTTTTTTGTACATGATCTTGTACAATTTCATGTATAAGTTCTTGTGCATGACCACGTCCATGTTCTTGCACGTGTTAATTTTTTTTTCTTTACTAAAAATTAAAAACTTCAAAGGCTGCGCAATAGTTTACTTTAACCTTTACAGCTGCGCAATAGTTTTTAGCATGCATGAGTTACGAATCTTAAGAGGTTAAAAATTATCAAAATCTCAAATTTTATTAAAAAAAATTTTTACAACTATACATGTGCAAGAACATGAACGTGTTCATGTACAAGTACTTATACATGAAATTGTACAAGATCATGTACATTTTCTTGTACAAGTATCATTCTTGTACAAGATCTTGCACCAGATCTTGTACAAGATCTCACACATGAACTTGTTCCAAATACAGGAACTGGTCAGAACTTGTACAAGTTCATTTGCTGATCCTGTACAGGAAATTGTACAAGATCTTGTACAGGGATTTTCAGTAGGGTGGGACGTTACGATGAGTTCTTTTTTTTTAACTTGAATTCTTTTCACCTGAATCAATTGAATTTACATTTATTGATTCGAGTTTTGGTATTATATAAATGAAACCAAAAATAATGAGAGTGAAAAGGACAGGGATATATCACTATCATTTTCACTCTCCTTATTTTCGGTTTTGAATTCTGCATTTACATCAACATGTAACTCCGACCTAAGTTATATGATGGAGCTTCTACAATAGCTCCGTTTGGCAATTATTTGAAACTCTGCTCGATAAATAATAAAATAATTTAATAAAATTTGCAATTTCTATTAAATATAAATTATTTTTTCACACATTTTACACTAATTTCTTGAAAATATTATGAAAACTGACAACGAGTTAAAATCTACAGTTACCACTTGCACATATCAAGTGATTATTTATTATTTATCACGTTAAATTAACTCTATAAATGTTCATTTAACCTCACAATACTAATTTTTATAAATTTTCATTAATTTAAAGCTTTTTTTGATAATTACCTAAATTCGACTTAGATTCGACTTAGATTCGCCCCAGCTGGGTCGAATTTAGGTAAATCAAATCCGCCAGGGAAATTCGAAAAACAATTATTGAAGAATGTCAAGATAGTGTAGTGGAAGGACAATAAGGGGAAAGAAAAACATTAGAAAGAATTAGGGAAAACTATTATTGGATAAATATGCGAAAAGATATTCAGGATTTTATTAAAACATGCGAATCCTGACAATAGAAAAAATTAGTTAGAGTAAAAACACGACAACCTATGAAAAATACAGATACTCCTAAAAGAGTCTTTGAAAAAATTCAAATGGATATAGTGGGACCATTAACTGAAACAGAATCCGGAAGTAAATATATCCTTACATGGCAAGATTGTTTCAGTAAATATTCAGGTGCAATCCCATTATCAAAAGCAGATGCAGCATCAATAGCAGTTGCGTTTGTTGATAATTTTATTTGTTTATTTCGTTGTCCAGAAGCCATTCATACTGATCAAGTTTCTTAATTTATGAGTGAACTCATGAAATCAATAGCTAGATTATTTAAAATTAAAAAAATCAAATCTACCGCATATCATCCACAATCATTAGGGGCTCTAGAAAGAAGTCATCATACTTTCATTGAATATTTGAGACATTATTGTAAAAAGACAAATTGGAATTGTTGGTTACAATCAGCAATATTTTCTTTGAATACATCTTTACATGAATCTACAGGGATAACTCCTCATGAAATGGTATTTTGAAAAAAAGCGCGAATTCCATCAGAATTTGCCAAAAATCAATTTTCAATTACTTATGATTTATATGTAAATGAGTTATTGAAACAAATAGCCGAAACAGAATCAATGGTAATTACCAGATTAATGGCTTCAAAACAACGGTGCAAAAAATATTACGATATGAAAATAAATGAAAAGAATTTTAAAAAGGGTGAATATATTTATCTAACAAACGAAAAAAGAGAAAATAAATTTGAAGATCACTACACAGGTCCTTTTAAAATTACAAGAATTATAAACTAATATAATATTGAAATTCAAATTAATTCATGTGAAAGAAAAATCGTACACGTGAATCGCGTAAAACATGCATTTATAAGATTATAAAAATGGCAGAATTTTATTACTGTAAAGAGAAAATTAAGGGAAAGTTAGTAGAAAAAAAATTTTGTTAAGACGATCCAAAAAAAAATTTCTAAAAAAAGAGATGGTCTATTTTTGTTTGGACGATCTCCTATAGGAGATGGTCTTAATATATATGTATTTAAAATCCCACGGCGGAAGATTAGATCCTATGATGAATGAAAATTTTGAATTGGTCCTTTTCTTTTATTTCTTCTTAAAAGGTTCCTCCTGAATATAAAAATCCTGATGTCCTTAAATTTTTTTTGGTGGATGTCGTGATGTCCTTTTGAATTTAAATATCCTAATGTCCTTAAATTTTTGGTGGATGTCGTGATGTCCTCTGGAAAGTAAATGTCCTAATATCCTTTGAAAATAAATAACGTCCTGAAGTCCGTTATTCTGAAAAAGGGGAGAAACAAATTAATTAATTAAAATCAAGAAGGTATGATATTTCTTTTTGATAATTTGAATTTTCCCACACAACAAAAAAAATCCCTAAAAATAAAGTTAGCAGAATTAAAACGGAAGTAGATGGCAGCAAAGGATATTAAATTAAGACGCAATACCTGTCAAAAAGAGGAAAGAACAAAAGTGTTTTACAAACATGTGAATAATAATTCAACAAAAAAGGGTGATTTTCCTAATAATAATAAAAAAACATCATGGAAGTGCTGAGTGTGGTTCTAGAACAGAACTATGTAAGAAAAAAAGGGGGGGAACAATTTTAAAAAAATGATATATTTAATAAATAAATAAGAGGATGTGTATGTATATATGAATACCCGGATCAAATAACTCGACCGACGCTCGGACGCACGCTCTAATGGTAGTCGGGTAGCAGTGAGCCGCCCACAGGCTGTCACTGCTACTTGACTGGTAATAGAGCGTTCGTCCGAGCGTCGGTCGAGTTATTTGATCCGGGTATTCATATGTATATGAATATATATATATATATATTTTCTCTTTTCAGATCCCCGGTCTTATTGAGATCGAAAATGAAAAGGAGAAGATAAAAAATTTTCATTACCGGCGAAGGGGATCTCCAAATTCTGGGAGAATTTTTAACCATACTATCATCTGGAGATCCCCTTTTCGAGCAATATCGAGGAGGGACAGTACTCTGTGCATTATGTGCACAGACGAAGAATACCCTCCTAGAAGAGGAATTCTATGGAAATTTTATTATTAAGGAATACACGGGGGAAAGTTTGTGGGCGTTTCGCCTACCAAACTTCCAACTTATGTTCTGGCATAGAATGAAGGCCAACGATACATTTGAGTTGCGGATTTTTGAATGAGCTTTTTGTAAAAAAAATAGGGTCCCAATTCATGGATTAAGAGAGATGTGCAAGATGCAGATCTCTCTACATCCATGATTGGAAGTCATTCCGCAGTCAGAAAACACACATAAATTATTTACAATTTAAATTATAAAAAAAAATTGTATTTCCTATTTTTATTTTTGACTGTGTTTTTTTCAAATTTTTATTTTTGATAATCATAAATTTTTATAAGAAAAAAAATTTTTTATTTAAAAAAGGGGGGAAATGTATTATCAAGAAAATAAAAAGAATTTTAATACTTACCAAATTTTTCTTCGCTACAACCCAAATTGATAAAATTGAGATTTTTCTTTACCTAAAAAAAATTTTTATTTAAAAGGTATTATTATTTATGTATTATTAAGAGAATATAAATAATATAATAATCATTTTTTTGATACTTACAATTTAAATAATCAGCAAAAAATATATATAAAATTTTTTGTTATGAATTTGATTTTAATAAAATAAAAAAATTTAAATAAAAAATTCTTTTTAAAAAGAAAAAATAACAAGCTAAAAAATTGTGAAATAAAACGTAAAATGACAGTTGATTTGACAAAAAATAGGGAGAAATATACATAA